TTGAATGCATATCCCGTCATTCTATAATTACGAAAATTAAAAAAATATGTACGTATTGAATTATTAAAATTAGTCGATTATTACAATGAAAAAAATTCCTAAAATTTATTTGAATATTCATAAAAAATGGACGTTCAAACGAATATATTTGAATATTCTTAATGTTAATGTAGTAATTTATTCAAAAAAATTAAGATTGAAACATAAAATAGAAAATTATAATGAATGTAAAATATGTAAACTATAAGAATATAAAATAAAACTTCAAAATTGCACTAATGAAGCAAAAGTACAAAAATTGTTTGTCTTTATTATTTAAAAAAAAAAACATTCAAAAGATGATATATGTCAATTGTGGTGAAACTTGTACATACAACAATATTGTCCAATCCTCTTTTCAAAATCAAAGAAAAATAAAAAAAAAAAACTCTTTGATTTCCACGTTTCCACATGCAATAAATGATTCAATGTCGATTTCTTTCATTTCTGTTTGACAAAACAATAATCGATTTTTGGATAATGATAAATATATAAGTCAATTAAATTAAAAAACTAAATACAAACTTTTACATAAAAAAATAAATAAATGAAATTACAAAAATTATATGCAAACCGAAACAATGTAGCACATAGGACATAAGTTGGATTCGTAAACAACATCTGCAAGAAATACATAAAGAAAAAGTATTAGCATAGTTATGTTGTTAAATAAAAATATTAAACGGATTTAAACCATCTAAATTAAATTATAATACGATAAATGCATGAAATCAATTGAAAAAAAATTACAAAAAAAAAAAACCAAAAAGAGAAAACGAAAAACGAAAAACAAAAACAACTCGAATGGAATGGGTGATGAAAAATAGTGTAGGGTGAAATAAATAGATAGGGATTTATATAGTTTTGATAACTATATAGTAATTAGGAAATTTTTTGAATTCAAATTTCAAACATGATTATAGATGGGAAAAAGAAAAGGTAAAAAATCATCAATTCAATTCGGATGATTTGATTTCTATTGATTAGGAATTAATTTTAAAATATTAAACAATATTTATGGTTATTGAATGTTTTCATTAAACTAACAATATCATTAAATATAATGATCTTAAATAGGTAAGAAATCTAATTTCATATCATAAAATGTATATTCTGATTTTAGAAAATTTTAAAATAAATAAAACATACACGTTTTTTATTTGGTCATTTTTCTTTGTATTTTAATAATAAAATTATAAATTTCATAATATATTATTAATATGTTAATTTGAAATCGAATATTTTAATGCATTATTAAACAATATTAATATATTATTTTAATATTTTTTTATTGAATGGATATTCGAATATTCCAGAATATTGAAAAAAAAAATTGTATTCCTTTATTCTAATATTTGAATATTAAAAAAATATTTTTTTTCTCTAAAAAGTATTTGAATATTCGTAAAAAAATTGAATGTACTGATTTTTTTTAAAAAGACAACCAATAAATATATTTTGAAATACTGGAAATGTAAATAAGATTTTTTTTATTTCGAATTTATAAAATATTAATTTTGGAAATAATATATATACACGTGGTAATTGTTAAAATGAGTGTATAAATGTTAAATAGGAAATAACTTAAATACATATCAAAATAAAATTTACAACTCACCAATTGAAGAATCCACCTCATCAATTAAACTCCAACTAAGCAATTTTGATAAATGACATCATCATTTGCCACATGTCAATCATTGAGGGCATAGATTCTCTTTTTATATTATATATAGATAAGATTGATTGTTTTTTAGAACATATAAGTTTGAGGACAATTGATAAACTTTAAAATAGATTTAAGACACTTACCAACTTGAGGAAGAGAACAAAAAAAGATATATATTAGCATTAAATTACTGGTAATACGAAAACCTTTTATTTTACAAAACAAATTAGTATATAATATACCTAATGATGGATTATTAATAAATAAATAAAAGGATCAATGATTAAGTGGGTTTTTTTTAATATAAAAAAAGACTCAAAATCATAAATAATTGATGTGTAATTATCAAATGACCAAAATTAAGGAAACACATTTGCAAATGACCTTTTTCTTCCCGGGGAATATGACATAATTTGTTTGAATAATGAATCGCTGTCTGCCATAAAAAAAGTGTTGACTCTTGACTCTTGAGTCTTGACTAATGGTCATTATTAAGCTAATAATAATTCATTATTTTAATTATTGAGCTTCCATCACTTCTAAATCTTTTCATCACTTCTAAATCATTATTTTAATACCTTCATATGCATGCTTTAATTTCTTCTATTAGATATAATCTTGATGAACTTTATCGAGTTATATTCTATCGTGAGCTATATATTCTGATGAACTTTATCGAACTATATTATATCATGCATGTGTATAGATTATGGTGATATATATAAACATTTAATTTATATGCATTTGAATGTATGTAAATAATTAAAGATAAAAGAAAAAGTTACCCAAGTGCAACAATTATAAGAATCACATGCATGCATATTCTATAAATCTCCACAATAAAATATAATAGCAATCCCTTTTAATTTGTCCCAAAAATTCTTTATGTACCCAAATTTTGGAATATTGAAAATTCTTGTTATTAGCATGAGATTCAGATTTCTCAAGAAATTGTGAGATTTCTCGTATAATTTATTACTTTTTCGGTACCAAAATATTCATCGCTTTGAGTTGTTGCATACGTATTAGGAAAACCAACAAATACATATTAATTACAGCTAAAAACATAGAAAATGGCTAAAATACCCTCAATTTAAATAAATTTTCATCATTTCTATTTTAGTTATACAAGGCAAAAATAGGAAAACTGCAATTAATTGTATCGTCGGAGGAATTTTTAACCAACTAATAAATTAGTTGAACAAAAAAAAAAATGGTAAACTACGGCAAACTCACCCTTGAGGTAAGGCAAAATTACGAAAACCCTCTTTATGTTTAGGGTAATTACAAGTTTACAACCTTTTCTGGACTATGTATTATTGTCTTACACGTCCATCCTCATGCATGTTGTCAAATTAACCTACTAAATAAGGGGTTTTTTTTTCCTCTCATAATTTCAATTATCTAAATATGAAGGATTTTTTCGTAATTTGACCTTACCTTAGAGAGCTGACCGCAATTTACCCAAAAAGAAATTGTGCAACGGCAAACATTTGGCATGCAAAGAGTAACTCGATCTTATCTAAACTGGAAAAATCATATACAGTCCAAACACAAAATCTCATCCTCTCAATTTTCTTCAATGATTAATCATTTATTAATGATTGTGTGCATTTATTTAGTAGTCAAATACAAATTCTATAAAGAGGAATACATAGTTTGTAGTCAAAAAATATTTTCTACACTTTCTCTCTCTAAATCCATCCATAAAACCAAGAAAGCTAGAGAGAGAGATAAATAAAAGAATCATCATGAGTGGTTACATCAAGATCAAAACCTTAAACACCATTAATGAATCATCATCAACATCAGATTCTGTTTCTCTCACTAGAACAACCAAACACAAGATCGACGACGAGCAGTCTTTGGAAAACAATTCGACGGAGAAGGTGTTCGATTTCGGTGCACCGAAGTTCGACAGAAACTCTTCGGTGTCTTGTTCTAAATCGAGGCACGTATCTTCGTCGGTGAAGAAGGCTTTCTCAATGAGGAGATCTTCGTCTGTTTCCGAGAGGTATTGTCGGATCCATGACCAGCATGTAACTTTAGCAGATGAAAGATTTGAATTTGGTCGTAATAATACCAATACTAATAATACTAATAATACTAATAAACGTGGAGGGATCTTCAAATTATGTAAGCGCGTTTTCGGAATCTAAAAGTGTCGCCGCCACGCTTTATGATTTTTGTTTCTTTCTTGGATGTTGAATTGCGATTTTGGACTTTGTTCGATAATCAAAGCCGTCGTCATCCAATGTTGAATGACCAGATCATCTAAAAGTTTAAGTCGTTAGTAATTTGAATCATTTAATGTTTTATATATAAATAAATAAAAAAAAACCACCAGAAATTAATAAATAAAATTCCCTGCAATTGAGCAATCAATCTCATAAAAAAAATGGCAGAAAATTATTACAAGCAAATATTGTTCAGCTAAATTACCAGCAGGCCCTTTTGAAGTTTGCTTTTTACATAATTAACACCTTACATTTCTAGTTCCACTTACATGTAATCCTTTAATTAACCAATTACAATCCAGATCAGAGTTTAATTAATCTTTGTGGTTAATCCAATAAGGATGATCTCAGCTGTACAAATCTCTCAGCCTCCTCCGTTCGACCCAAACGAGTGAGAAGATCAACGATGCTACCGTAATGTTCTTCCGACGCTTTAATTCTATATTTCCGACTCATTAAACTGAAAAACCTCAGTGAATCTTCGGCAAATCCACCTTGTTCGCAAATACGTAGCACCACTTTAAAAGTGAACTGGTTTGGCGAGAAATCATCCGACATCATTTTCTTGAAAATCCGTATAGCTTCTGCATATTCGCCGTTGCACCCGTAAGCCTCGATAACCGCAGTCCACGTCATCGACCCTTTTACCGGAACAGCATCGAAAACCAACTTCGCCTTACTAACTGCTCCGCAGTTTCCGTACATTCTCACTATTTCTGCAGAAACGAAAGGGATCGAAGTCAAATCCTTCTTCAAAACCTGTCCGTGGATTTCTCTCCCGAGCTTTTCGTTTTTAAGCTGGCCACAAACACTCGATATTCTCGCTATCGTGACAGAGTCCGCCCTGTGCTTAGACAATTGCATTAATCGAAAAACACCAAGTGCTTCGTTCAAGCACCGACTTTCCATATAGCATTCAATCATGGCCGTCCATGCAATCACATTCTTCCTCTCCATATTATCGAACACTCTTAAACTGTAGTCCAACGCACCACACTTCGAGTACATCATCATCAAAGAAGTTGAAACAGACACATAGGGAAGAATCCCGTTTTTAACCGAATAAGCATGAATTTCCTTCCCTTGTTTTGACGCCCTCAATTTCCCACAAACTGGAAGAACTGTAGCAACTGTCACGATATCAGGTTTGAAACCTTCTTGTTGCATCCAAACAATTGATCTTAGCGCCTGCTCGAGCCTCCCGTTTGCTACGTAACCGGATAAAAGAGCGGTCCATGAAATAGTGTTTCTCACAGCTGTCCCGTAAAATACCTTCCGACCCGAAATCATATCTCCGCACTTGCAATACATATCGACCAACGCAGACTGAACAAACGAATGCTCCGAGTACGCTTTTGTTTTTATCACGTAAGCGTGAACCTCCTGCCCTATTCTCCGAGCAAGAACTTCTCCAATAACCGAAAGAATGCTCGTCACTATAACGGAATTTACTCGAATGCCCTCTGTTACCATCCATCTCGTGTATTCTAATGCCTCCCATTGCAACCTATTATGAGCAAACCCTGCTATCATTGCTCCCCATACCACCACATCTCTTTCCTCGACATCATCAAACACGGCACGTGCCAGCTTAACCTTGCCGCATTTGAAATACATATCAATCAAACTAGTCTTGAGTATGTCACTCTGCATTAAACCATTCTTTATCAAGATACCGTGCGTTTTCAGGCCCTGCCTCAGAGCTCGATTTCCAGCCAGGCTCTTGATCAAGCAAGAAAAGCTGTAAACGTTCAACTCCACACCAGAGGCCTGCATTTCCAAGAACGAACCCAATACTTCACCGGAATTGCGATGGCCCAACGTCACCTTACCCTTAAGCAGTGCATTCCACGGGTACACGCTTCTCACAGACATATCGTCGAACACCTTCTTCGCATCCTCAATCGACCCACAACCCGCGTACATGTTGACTAGCTTCGTCTGCAGGAACTCGTTCTCGACGAGGCCGTTTATTCGTATGTGCGCGTGGACCTGTCTCGCCGCCTCGATCGATTTCGCTCTCGTGCAGGCGGACATCAGGGAGGAGAATGTGGTGACGTTGGTCGGAATTCCACGGTGGTCTAGGTAGTCCAATATAGCAAGAGCTTCCTTGAGCTTGTTTTCAATGGCGAATTTCTGGATATCTCTGTAAATGGCGTGTGGGTTTTTTCTGTGGATGGGTATGGAGTTTGGGAATGCATCTTTGTCGTGGAATTTTTTCAGTTTCTTCTTCGGAGATGCGAGTGGGTAAATTGGCGCCGGTGATGAATTGATTCTGAACGAATCATTTTCGAGGGTTTTAATTAGGGTTTGGTGGAGAGGGTGAAGCAAATTTGGAGGCTTTGGTTGGGGTTTGGAGGTGAAGTTGCAGCTGCTCAGAGCATCCATGGCAAGTCAACAATGTTTCTGCAAAAATTGAATATATTATTTGAATTGCTTTTCTCATCAATAAAGGAAGAAACATAAGCAGTGAGTAATGGAAATACTTGAGTGTGAGCGACGGCAAATCGGCGGCGGACGGCCGGAATTTGAAGAAGAGAGCGGCGGAGAGGAATGCGAGCGCCAATTTCAGATAAGATATGAAATGCAGTGTGGATATTCTGATTTTAATGACGTAGTTTTTTATTAAATATTAAATTATTTTTAATATTTTAACAATATTGTTTTTCTTTGGCCAAACTATGGTCAATCCTTAGGTATGGTCAAATTATGAAAAAAATCATCTTATTTGGGTATGGGTAATTACAGTTATTACGACGAATCATCTTCCGGTTAAATGAAAACCTCCACTTGAGAGTTCAATATTAGGTAAACTTCGATGTGGCATTACCCCACGGAGAGAACTCTCATGCAATTTCAAGATTGCATGGATCGGAAGTTTACGGGACAACCACTTGCGGTAGATTGTGAAGCATAAGCGGCGTTTGAAACTATCTCGTGGACGAGATCAAAAGGATGGAGTTCGATTATATTAGAAGGGGATTGTTTGCAAGTTATTAATACACTTAAAGATGGAGTTTATGTTGTTATATTGAGGACTACTTGATTTTAGTTAGATCTTTAGATTTTTGTGTTTTTTCTTTTGTCAAGCGAAGTGATAATCTCATGGCACACTCTCTTACCACGAAATTTGGAGCAATATATAAGGAATGAATTCTCATTCTCTATTGTCGGGACAATTTCGCTTAATAAATCCATTATGCCTCAAAAATAAATAAATTGGTGGTTAATTGATTAATATTGACGGCTAGTATTTACCAAATAGGGATTACACATGGGAAGTATTTGGAATTAGTTCTTATAAGAACCAACCATCATTTCGGGTGAAAGCAAAGACAGAATAATAGATATATGATCGAAATTAACACTTTTGAAAGAAAAATAAACTGATTTTTTTCAAGGAGTGGAAACTAATTTCCATTTCGTTAAGAAAAAAAAAATTTGAAAATCGGAATGGAAAAGCTTGTGCAGAATTCGGAAACTCATGGATAGGGATTGGCAGAGTTTGAAAAATTCGTAATTTGTAGTCATCATAAATATTAAATACATAATAAAATTGATACTACAAGTGTAATTTTCCGGAAAGATAATGATTTTTTTGGAATTTAAATCGGACCGAAAAATGAAATTCAATTCCACTATAAAAAAAGAACAAAAAAAAATAAATCAAAAAAAATCGAGAATTGATCGGGATTCGGAATGAAAAAATTTCGTATCAAAATAGGGAAAACTTCGAACCAAAATCAGCATAAGTTAGAAAATTTCAAATAAAAAATTTCGTTCCAAGGTAAATTAAAAGAATATTTTTTTATTACATAAGAGAAAAATCCTTTTTAATTTTTGTTTTTTATTAGGGGCTTAAGATTATTAGATGATACACCCAAACCTAACAAAAGATTTGCTATACATCATTTTGTAAAAAAATCACCAATATACCCTCACGTTGAATTAACAGTGTTAAATTTTTAATTTGGAAAACCCAAATCAAATCCCACAAATCTCGTCTTTCAAAAGAATTTCATGATTTCTACTTTACCAATTATCCTAAATAACCACCCAAAATCTCGTTTCTTCTATGATTACGCTTCCATAGCGGTGCGAAAAAAACTGCAACAAATTGAAACAAAACGAAGAAGAATCCACTCAAACCTTTCGTTATCTCTACAGAAATCTACATCATGCAACAAAACAAGTAAGTATTTTTTGTTTTTTTTCTTGTTTCAGAGAAATTCAGCGCTTATTGCCCAATTTCAAAATTAGGGTTTTCAACAAGAAGAAAATTGCAGGAGAGATGAGGATGAAAAATGTGTGGTAATTTGTTTGAGAGTATTCATAAGCTTATTTGGTGTCTATGCTTACTATGTAGTTTCTTCGGATGTATATGTTAAATGGCTTGATTGTGTGTGAGAGTTATTGTGAGATTAGGACAATAATAGTTGATTTGATCGTTTAGATTTTTTTATAGTTGTCTTTGCATATTCGGTGGTTGTTGGTTTAATTATGTGAGATAGTGTTTTTGGTGTCTACAAGACTACAACATTCTAAGAATTGGGCTTGAATATATGTTCTGGGTGATTTTGTTGTGTAAAACATGATTTGAGTCTCTACAAAAAGTTTATATATGCCTTTGATGATGCTAAATTATTTAGATCACCTGGGGTAGTGCAAAAAACGAATGGGAGAGCAAAGCGGATCAGTAGCTTGACAACTTGATGATCCTGAGGTACCTGCGATCATAGAACACATGAACTAAGCCGGGGGTTGATCCGGCGGAAACCCCTTCGACGCTCAAGTCAGACGTGCTGATCATAGAAAATAGTCCAGAGAATACAGTTAATAGTATTGCTCAGTTAATAGGACGTACCTTGAGGAATGAGTTCAAACCTTTATTTATAGCTTAGATGAGATTGTTGGGCCCAAACCTTATTTGAAGGTGATTGGGCCTCGGTGATAATAGTCTTAGATATTGGGCTCGTGGCCCAATAGGTAAAGAGATTGTAGGCCCATTGGGCTGGCCCAATTAGGCATATCAGCCTTATTTATGTATAATTATACAGAATAACAAATTATGGCTGAATTTATTGATGTTATAGAAAATAATGTGTTGTGTGTGCTATGTGTGTGGAAAATTGTGTAAAAGCATAAAAGAAAATAAGCTCATTATGTTCAAATTGGTGTTATTTGTCAATTAATTAGTTGATTGTACAGTAAATTTTTTGACTATCTGTGGATGCCTATGATAATGGTGATGTCAACAATAAAATAGATATGAACAAATTTGGGTACTGCTTATACTATACACACGTGTTAATATTTTGGGGACCTCATAGCCTGTAGAATATGTGGATGTCTACACCATTTGTTAAAAACACAAGTACCTTGTTTTTTTGTCTATACATTCTATTGGTGTCTACATCTTTTTGTAAACTCTCATGAATGTGTGATTATCTATAAGTATCTATTTATTGTATAGATTGATCTTTTGAACATAAAATTATTCCTCTTTAATTGTATGGTTTTTGTACTTATTCCTCTTTATATTCCATGCACTTTTCATTGAACATATATTCTTCATATGTTCTTTATCCAATTACACGATTATATATATTTAACTTGTATAACTAACACGCAGAAAATACACTTGGAGAAGACAGTACAAGACATGGGATTATTTGATATCCCATTCAGCGAATATTTAAGCATTTAGACTAATCCACAACAGCAATCTGTGAACAACGATTGTGGTGTAATTCTGTTGTACATCATCAATGAACATTTTATTCAAGTGTCGTTGGAATAAAGAAGTTGAGAAAGGGGTTACAAATATTAGAATAAACATTGTAGAATAACTACTGAATTACGAAATGGATTGAGCTATAAGTTATTGCAGTTTGTTTTGTTTTTTGTATGCAAGTGTAAACATTTGTGCAAATGACATTTAGCGGTGATTTAATGTGAACAAAATTATACGGTTATATGACACTATTTATGCCCACATTCAGTGCATATTTTGCCATTTATTTAGTAAGATATTTTAGTATTTGACATATACTGAAACATGTTAATACGTTCATACTAATGGCCATGCTATACGTAATATGAGATATCCAGATATTCTATAATGTACTATAGTATACTGCAACTGTAATATACCATAGTATTCTATAGTATACTATATTGTACTATAATGTGCAATGGGTTACTATGAAACTTGTGTTGTAATAGTATACTATAGTATAATGCAACTGTAATTTACTATAGTATTCTATAGTATACTGTATTGTAATATAATGTGCATTGATTTTCTATGAAAAACAATATATGGTAATTGTGTACAATCATAATATGAATTGACAGAAACACCAAAAAATTGTATGGGCGGTGTCAGAAATCAATACATAAACTGAAATTCCAATAACAATGAACTGTGAATTGACCATGTAAAATTAAAAACTCAACTACTCAATCAAAATAAAATGCATGGAATATAAGCAAATCAGGCATCGAATATTGAACTTGCTGGAAAAAAAAGTAGTCTAAAAAAATCCACGAATAAAAAAAAAAAACAACCAAACATTTTAATTGCAATACAACTGGTTAAAAAATACTCCAAATGTAACTATTCAATTGCATTTGTGCATGCCATCTTGTTGTGATTGCCAACCTGGTTGCAGCGGCTACATCTCATCCTCCTCGCCATACTCTTACCCCTTGAAGGAATCATTTTTGTCTATTATTTACTGCGTTTTGCTTGGATCGGAAATCAGGCGGACCAATCACAGCCAACAGAGGACCTGCAATAGGTCTAGCAAAAGAAGAATTGCTTTAACATAATTTTGTTCGTACGACGAAATATGAAAGTAGTCGTCCACATAATTGTATCCTTCCGTGTTCGTTTCGTACAACACACAAGCAACATGAGCGCATGAAAACCCCAAAATTTGCCATGTTCCGCACAAACATGCTCGGTTCCATAACTCCACCACAACAACACGCTCACTTAGTCCCTCATAGAGCGAGTCAGATGCTTCATCGGCAACCATGTCCTAGTTTCATGGACCAATGCGTCATAACGTTCTTCCACCAACAGATACAATTTAGTGTACCAATGCAGCGGTGTCGTACTTCAATAGTATTCTGAAAATAATACGAAATAATATCAAAATAAAAAATAATATATGTCTATAGAATATTGAGCATATAATCTTAGTAATGGCTACACATATATAATCTATTCATGGCTCAACAAAAATAACACATAATCTGTACATACCAAAAAAAAGGACCAAAATCTAACACTGAATAACATAACATAATACAAACTGGCAAACCTAACATATAAACATGATGAACCCAATTTATCCAACAAAAATCAAAATCCATTGAAACCAATTACATAAATAAAAAAATTATATTGGTGGCAATTGACGAAACTACAAAACACAACCATACAATTAAATTATGCAAAAAAACCACATGAATTACCAATCCAAACCCAAAACACACCCCTAATATATTGCTGCGGAAACTGTATGCGCAAAACACAAAAAAAATAAATAAAAATAAAATAAA